TTTTGTAATTATCATTAATTTTGCATAGAATAATAGCAACGGCAAATGATTTTAGCAATGAAGCCAATTATTATCATTTTCATCACTATCAGCAATTACTGCTTTTTTTTTAATTTATTTATACGTTAATGCTCAAAAATAAGTAAATCATGAAAACGAATGGATAATTTTACTAATAGCAATAAAAAATTAAATATAATATTGGAACATTTTTAACCCACGCTAATGCGAGTAACTATATAAAAAGGCCAATAACCATTTCGTTTACCCTAAATAATTACGAAGCAAAATTAATGAGCAAAGTTTCATATTTTTCTACATTTGATCAGTTATTTATCTGCTGATTTCAAAAACAAACGTTTGCTAAATACTGAAACTATGCAAGTAATATTTAGAGCATTTTCCAGTGGAAAACAAAACCCGAGGGCACAAAACTGCTGATCACAAGAGACCCCTAATGAACAACGTTCAGGAAGTATGTTGTGCAAAACGCGGTTATTTCCACATCCATTGCAAATTTTAAAAGCGCGCTTGAAAGGATATTACAATAGTTCTGTTGTTCAAAACGTGTAATATTACTGGAATTATTTTCGAATTGAGCCATTAACAAATATGCTCAAGGTTTTACGATACTTTCAACTGTACTCTATCGGAGAAAACCAATTTTTGAATAAAACTTTCTTGCTTCTAATGATACGTGCAAACCCGATGCAAAGCTAATACCAAAAGAAGATCACGCTTTGCTTAGCTTAACGATTTCAAAATCTCGTAAAAGGCCCTTATCTTGCATGCCACTCTCAGGGCGACAAAGAGCTTATAATCCAGATATTAAGTTTAGCTAACTAAATGCTTACACAGCAGCTCGGAGATTTACCGGATGTGCTAGATTGTAGGAACGTTCAAATATGCATATCGCCCTCAGAAAGGAAATAGAATAGATCTAACCGAAATGACCTCTCATACGTTCTAAAACTATTATGATACCGGAGAAGTTAAATGTTTGAAATGAAGTTTTAGGCATTGTAAATAGATACCGTACAATTTCAGTTTACAACTTTAAAGAGGAAAAAACTTGAAATTGAAACAAATATTGGACATAAAGAGATCTTTTTGAAAATTTAATAATTGTTGAAAATTCGTCGATGTTAGGTTCGATAATTTTTCCTCTATTGCTAGCCCCAACCAATGTTTCTAATCAATAACACCTATAAAATCCGAACTGGTACGAACGTGATAATTTTTTTACCGGATTAACAGTGCAATACAGACTACTGGTCTATTGTCAGCTTTCTCTGACTGTTGCGAAGTTAAGGATTATGTATTATGTAAGAAGTATTACCACGGCTGCCCATGAGAAGAATACGTTGACAGTCAAAAGAGCTTGAGCACGAATGTGAACTAAAGTGCAAAATAAATTTAGAGGGAATACAAATAAGCTTTCATTGTGTTATAGAAGCCAAGCTCAAACGAGATACGGGCATTTTAGTAAAGTTGTTTGTAGTAATCTGTAGCATTTTGTATAAAGTTCTCTAAATCTAGTCAAATTTAACTTGAACTAATATTTCTCGGTTTTTAAGTAGAAACATTCGTACTATAGATAAAGGATGTTCCTTATTTGTTGTTACCCTTTTGAAATTGGCCACTAAACCATGGAGCTTTTTCAAGTAAATAACATATCCCGAAATAGTCCTTGCAGCTGTCCACTGACCCAGAAACCCAAATTGAGTTTTCGAAAGATCCCGTGATTTCAACAACGTACTTTCTCGTGCTGCTAGTCGTAAAACTACCCGCACCTTTTATTTTCCGAGCTTCAGCGAATATTTCTATGGAGCTGCACATTTAATGCCACATTCTTCGGCCTTCGCCAGTTTATTTACGAATTTCCAAATAAACTTAAATTAGAAATATTTTTCTCAACTTCAAAAGGAAAAATCAATAGAAGAGAGAGAAGAGAATAAGTTTAAATGTTTTCATTTTTCAATGTATCGAGCTTTTTAAATGGGTTTCGTTCTGAAGTACTTAGAATACTTGAGGTTTGAAATTCGACAAATGCAGCAGCATTTCTGAGGTTTAAAAGCTGCCTGCGTAAAGCATCAAACTGAATTAATTAAGTTTTCTCCAATAAAAGTGTTCTTCTTCTTTCTCCAGCTTTGTTAGGAATATTGCTGTTATCAACCTGTATACTTCCATTTTGGCCGTAAGCCTCTTTCATAAATTAATTATTTGCATCTTTCAATAATTTCTAATCCTCATTCACTGGCGTCTCATTTATTATACATGCGTATTTATTCCTAATTAGCTTTTCTCGAGCTTTTAATTTGGGCAATATCGATTCAAATCTTGAATTTTTTATTAATGCTTAGAGCGTTACTAACTGTATATAAATAGCCACGTTTATCACTCTAAAAACATACCTTAGCTATCAAGAAAATTTGTTATATATGTTGCCTTGAATTTTCAAGATGAATTCCAACTTTTCCTAGACTTATTGTTCGTCTACAATGGATTAACGTGGTTCAACTTAATAAAGTCATGAGGTTTATAAATTACCATAAACCGAAAGTCATAATGAGATGGTTTATAAGGTTTATAAATATTTGCGTCCACTCTAATAATATTTTTCTGTTGCAAATTTGTGGCTTGATGTTGGCACGCGTCCAGATAAGTAAGTTATCATCCATATTTAATAATAGCGCTTTGAAATATGCTTTCTCTAAATAAATAATCAGTTCGGGTTTATTTGGCTGTAAAGTACAATTTATCTGGTTCAGAATATAGTAAAAATCAATGCACTGGCTCAAACATTAACAGAAAGTAGCTCATAACGAAATGAAACAACAATAAATTACACAGAAGCTTGAAAAAGTCGAATTAAAGATCGAGTCTAAAATAATAGCAAATGTTCATCAAATAAATTTTATGGATTTACTGAACCAAGTAACGATATTTGCATTAATTGCTATTTACTATTTGTTTTCTGAATTTCCGCCATAAATGCATAATGCGTTTCGGTTTAACTTATATATTATCATCCAACATAACTTCACCAACAAAACTTCTTTAACCATGTTCGTGAAACACATTTGCATAAAACCTTGCAACAYATTTTTCATTTTGCAAAAACAATTGTAAAAATAGTTCGTTACATTAACAGAAACAAGGAAAAGTGTTATGAAAAGTTACTCARTTAATTTACATATAATTTAAATTTAAGAATCACCATAAATGTCTCGTGTAGAAKGTATCAAGTGATTCGGCATGGCTTACCCATGCTGAAATGTTTGTTCAACGGTAGAAAGGTAAATTTATAATTTCTTTATAATAAAACATAATTCAGTTAAGTTAAAAGAAAAACATTTTTAGATTGCTTTAAAAATCTGTAAAARTTACTTCTATAATCAGTATAGAATCTAAAAGATATTAGAATAGATACAATTAACGCTAAACATCAAATTCAATGTGCAGATCATTTTAATTAGATTTAAGTTTCATTTGGCAAATGATTTTTTTGATAAGTTATTTGAAGTTGTTTCCGAAATAAGTGTGAAATTTTACCCTGTTTGCGTATCTTAGTTTAGATCAGACTTATTTCCATCCAAAATTTTTTTCGTACCAACTTTTACTTATTTCTCACACATTTTTGGATAGATCATGTACTTATTTATTTTTCTAAGAAGAAAATATTTCCAAAATAAAGCAAATTATTGTGTGATTATAAAGGAAAACATTCAGAAGCTAAATGATGAAAAATGGATCGAATTTAAAATTTCAYTTATTTCCGTTTTCTGAAATATAAAAAAACATATTCCGGAATAAGCTGAAAAATGTTCAAATTTGCATTCTCGTAATCCCCATAAAAAGTTATTTTTCTGTGTCGAATTAAATAAACTCGCACTGCCATAGCCGACTCGATTTACGAAATAGAAATTAAACGTATATTTTACCAAATATAACGATATGACTGAAAAAGTCACTTAGTAAAGGAGGGAAAAGGTAATTAAATAAAACTACTTCTGTCAGCAGATATATTTGCGCAAATTTTCTTAGCCTCAGCTTGATCGATCAAAAAATGTTGAATTTTCCGACTATACGAAAAGTCTTAGACACGGTTGCAGAAACAGAATAATATTGACCATAAGAAATGCAAAAATTGCAGAAATAAGCTTCATTTCGTCAGAAAAATTTTCCTTTCAAGTGACATGAATGACTTTAAAAGCTAAATTTATCAATACTGTAAACCGAACAGTAACGCAATATACCATGACATGATATCAAAGGCAAGTAAAAACTATTATATAAAAAACATGATTGGTATTAAATGTCTGGTTAAGCGCTTGGGTTAACTCGGCTATAGATGGCAAAAAAACAGTTTTTTTAGGTCCAATCTTTCGGCTCTATTTAAGCAATCAGCAGGGCTTTAAAAGAGAACAGAGACTTTTATGCCGCTATTTTCACAGGCTATTTTATCAATTAGCCAACACCAGAAACTACAACACAGATTTTATAGATAATAAAACTGAAGAACACACAATTCGGTCTAAACCAACAAATCTACTAGAGCGAAGGAAACAAGTTTATCATAAAAAAGTTTCCAACACAATATCTTTTCGTCTTTGGGAATACTTCCAAGAATATAAATTTGTAATTCGTAGCCATTAATATTAGTTGCAACCACAACAGTTTTAATATATTTGTATTTAGAATCAGCCAGTTAAGAGATAAAAGCGGTTGGCAATAATATTTCAAGGAGAAACAGGCCATTGTTTTAGTAAGTTGATTTCAAAATTATTCGGAATTTAAAAATTGTAAAACAAAAAACATTGCTGTCGAATAAGCAAAAAATGATTTGTTGCTTATATGCCGTTTCTGTAATTGATGTGATTATGTTTTCAGTAGAAGAAAGAGAAGCTTTCTATAAACTCATTAAAAAATCAAGTCCATAAAACTAGCCATTGCTAATTTTTATGAGACGTTGTATTAAAGACATTGAATGTCATCAATTGAAACTTCCAGGATTTTATTACCACACAATGTACTTTAAATAATTAACAAAAAAAATTATAAGAAAATTGGAAATACCTATTTTGAAAAAATGTTTTTCCAAAAAAGTCTGCTGTTGTCGCCGTCACTGCCAGTTGTTGTCGTCTTTTTCATCTCTGCTTCGATCGCATAGCTGAAAGCTGCTTCAATTTGCTTGAGTAGAATGTCCATAGAAGTAGACCGCAGATGGCCCAGCACCCACGATTGAGTTGTTGGAATTAACCAACTTAGAGATCCCAATCCTGAGGTATCAATAGCTGTGTCTCTGAAAAATCAAAGATAAACTCTTTAATTAAACGCTTAAATACTCCTCGCTAGACATTCATAGATTCTCCAATTGATTTTCCTTCAAAAGGGTGTTAAAACGAATTCACACGTCAACGAATGAGTGAATGAAGTAAAGTCCGGAAGGAAGACATGATTGAAACATTTCAATTAGGTATAAAAAAATATATTGAAGCTCATGTATTAAATTTCGCTAAGACTAACTTGAAACTTTATATGCGATTATTTACTGCAAAAAAACAATTCATAAAGGTCGGTACACATGGTTTTGAAAAAATAACGGTTGGTTCCGTATCATTTTCATGGTCGCGTTAATCCTTTAATTGAAGTAAATATATGTAAAAAGATCATGGAGCTGCTCAATGAGGAAGAATATTTGGAGAAAGTCTCGTTTTACTCGAAATTTCAGATCTATTTCATATCGAGTTTTCTGTGAACATGTGAGCAGGGAAAAAAAGAAAAAGAAAAGGCGCAATTGTGAATCATACCTATATTTTTTATGGCAATCAGTTGTTTGGATAATGTTCAGCTTCATGTTAGGAATTTCATGGAATTTTTTGGGTTTGTAGAACTCCTTGGTCACCTGATTTAAGCCTGGTGGATGTTTTTCTTTGTGGCCATATTAATATTTTCGTGTGCGGAACTACCGCGGATAATGTTTAACAATTAACTCAATAAATTATTAACAGTTGCATACAAATTAGACAACGGGAGGAAATATTAATTACAGTGCGAAGAAGAATCAGTCTGTGCCTAAATGGAACGACACCACTTTAAAAACTTAATATGGAATTATTATCAATTGTATTAAAACTTTTAATACCATTAAAGTATTTGTTTTCAAAGCACTATTTCTGAAAATGTGTCAATTTTGTGAAAATAGCCTGTTACTGATACAGTGCAAAATATTCTTCAGATACGTTGGGCTCGAGAATGACTCACTTTTGAGAGGTGAAACAAATACTCCTTTCTGTGCGATTCGATAGGCTCATTAGTTTTGTAAATGTTTGGTGCAAAAACTGGAAAAGTTATAACGCATTCCAAATAAAACAAAATGGATAACTGCACTTAATATTTCTTTTATATCTAAGGATTTAATTTTTATTAAAAAGATGACTAAAGTCAGTAAAATATATTTGGGTTCAGCTTCTTATAATTAAATCCGACCCTGGTAATTTCTAGCCCATCATTATATATTCAATATATGAATATAATATCTTCCTACAGCCTGTGGCCTCATACTAAATCCAAGCCGATTGTATTTTAAATTAGATTTGTCTTCCCCATATTAATTTTAACACATCAATTCAAGTCATAAAGTTCATTACTGAATATTTTAAACAAGCAAACTAGTTGCCAAATTACTATTTCATCTAGCCAGAATTTTCAGTAGCTTCTGCGTGATAAAATAACTTGTAACGAACATATTGTTGTAGTAGGTACGAATCCTACGGTTATAAAAAGCAGCAACGAATAAATATTAGAAAAATCAAATTCCATAAAACCAGTGATGTTTAACGCTTCGCTTTTCGCAGCTGGATAACAAATTGATCTGCGATTTGCAACGACTTTAAGTAAATATCCTAATGGCGAGAAACAAATTGAAATGATTAAAAAGCTTTTAGACCTTTAGCTGTTTTATCTCCAATGGCTTTGGAAATATCGACAATACTTTTGATACGAAAAAGCGTTTGCTCTAGAGCATTTATATTCCCATCAAATCTAGAAAGTGCTAATAAAAAACATTCTTTTAACAGCGCCAGTTTATTCTCGGGCAGTTTATTGAAAACGATTTTTATTAGTGCACTAAACCCCTTTTATTAGATAGCCCTAAATGGTTTCATCATCGTCCGCCTTTTGTGTCATCGTTCTCGTTCGGAATTAGCAATTACTCGCAAGACTTAATAGAAATTACCGTTTTAAATGTTTCCTTTGCAAGCGAAATTAGGAGAGATTACAAGAAATTTGCCATTTTGAAAATGAACACTGTTATTTATGTTCCGAATATACAGCATCGCTTTTTGTTTAGAGCTTAAAATAGATCAGTTTTCATCAAATGTTATTACATTTTTTACTGGCCGAAGGGACAGGAAAATATTACTCCAAGCTGCAACGTCTGAAAATCAAATTTATTCTGCAATATCGAGTTTATGACTTATAAGATTTGATCTTGAGCAATGTAAACGTCTAGGCGCTCTTGAATCACAGTGACTGAATGGGAAACATTTTTTAAACTTGCAGCAAAAAATTAAACCAAATGTTTTATTAAAAAGGTAAAAATTTTCGTAATTAACACTATGTCTGACAGGGTAAATAAGCATTAACTTAAAAACACGACACGTTTACAAATAAAAATTTGTCGCAATAGTTTACAAGAAACGTTTTCTCAAAATCACAAGTTTCACCTAGAATTCCTAGTGAAATACGATACAAAACTGTGTAACACGTTTGCTCTTCAAAATTAAGAATTTCAATCCACCGGAGATATGTTTTTCATCCCAGCCAATAAATGTGTGAAAAATATATGAAATATTTTTATTTACCTACGTTTAGGATTGTACACTTGTTTGTATTGATTGAAGAAGTACTCAATATATCTACCGGTTAATTATGATCTAAACAAATAAAAATGTTCAACGGCCCATACAGCAATACAAGGTGATTCTCTGAGTGATTTTTAGAAGAAAAATATAGATGCGTATAAATGAGGCAGTAATTTATATTTTTATTTTTATATTATTAAAGTTTTTTGAGAATAAAACAAATATTTGTGAATTAATTCATTATCATTTCATCGCCATTGTTTAAATTTTGTGGTGCTGAATATGGCAGTAAGGCAGCAGTAAAGAACATATTTTTCTCAAAATAGACTAAAACCATCCTGCACAGTGGCGATCCGGAGAAAAAGGTAGCGAATATTTTTTAATAATTTTTTAAAGTGTGAACAGCTGACTTATTTTCTATCAACTTATTAGATATCTGCCTTATCTGTCATTTAGGTACCTACCTATCAATTTTTCGCGCACTTATTAAAACTATTTTCGATAAAATGTAAATCGTAAAAAAATTGCATAACTATTTTACTAAACTTCATATTTTATATGTTTTATTTTAAATTTTTGATTCATCATCTTAAACATTGGCAGAAATTGAAAAAGGCAGAAGGACCAATGTGATCGATAGTCTGTTTTGTTAAAAGAATTTTTTTTATATGTTTGTATATAATTCAAAAATTTTCGGTTAGATATAATGATGTAAATGAAAATTATAAATATTAAATTCCGTTAGTTATGTTTGGTAAATTACCAAAAGGAATTTTAATAAGCATATGCTGTCCGGAAAAGTTATTTTGAACACGGTTCTTCACCAGGCAACTAAAAATAAAACATCATAAAAATCTCAGGCTTAATTAAAGTCCATTGAGTTGATGATAGGTCCAATGTAAGCCATTACTTTTATTTGGAATGGGGAAAACTAAATTATTAGTCTTCAATTCTTTAACGGCATTTTGTTCAACTCAAAATAATTTTTTATCTGAAACTTTTTTTTTGTACAAATTTGAATACTTCGATGAAATATATACAGTGTTTTTTATTTTTCTCTCGATTTAACTAGTCCCAAAATTTGAGCGTAGAAGTTTTCAAGGGTGCTACTCTGCCTACAGAAGCCTTCCCCTGTTGGAATATGTTTGTATTCTATTGGTTCAAATTTTCTGACTCCTTGTATTCCCACGTTTGTTTTTATTAGATTTGTGCGCTTATCATCAAAGGGCAAAAATGTGTACCTTTTCACGTACTTAATAAGAATAACCATTATTATTATTATCATTAATTTTTTTCTTTGATTTAACGTTCATTTATTTAGTGGTAATAAGAAGAAAGAACGAAGACATTTTTTTTTAACTTTGCTATCTTCAAGTTTTGAGTTCAATATCGTGTGTAAAAAGAGTAAGTTTACTAATCCTTTTAAAATAAGACGTAAAAAATATAACTAGGTGAAGGTCTTCTCGAGATGTGATAATCTCAGACACTCAGAATTTATCTTGACTGGTAGATAATCTCTGTTATTTTGACTCAAATGCTGATCAAATCTTAGTGCTTGAGTGTTACAAGTACAAGCGTAAAGTGCAACCATCTGATTTAAAAAGCACCAAAAATTTCAAGTTAAAGTATAAATATATTCAATATTTTTTTATTGTTTTCCTTTTGGAGCTTACTGCTCCAAAATAGGGCTTGTAAAAATGTGGGTTCCGACCAGATTCTAAACCATTAAAATGCTCTTATTGAAGAAAATATAACAGTTATATAAATAATCATTAACTATAACACTAGATAAACCATAATTGAAACCAAATTGAAAAAAAAATTGTTTTAAAGAGGGCTGGTAAAATAAAAAGCTTTGCACAAAAACCTTAGATCCGTTTTGCAATTGTTTTCCGAAACCGGAACTATCTGAAAATTTAAATTTAAAAAATGTTTGAAAAAATATATAAATATATGTCTAACTGAAATAAAATTTAACTATATTCGTGTATCCTTTAGATTTCAGGAGATGTCTGCAAAACACAGGAAAGGTTCCCAGAAATCCCTGCATTTTTTGTCAATCTTTCACGTTAACTCTATTTAACTTTAGAAACTCAGATTTACAAATTAATTTCGATTTAAATGCTAAAGTCTGTGTTTAATCAACGTTAAATTTAATTTCACAAAATGCTTCAAATGTAAATTGAAATGATTTTCGAGCTTTAGCAATTGGAACTGTATTTCAGTATGTTTCATTTATAAATCAGTTATATATTTAATTAATAGAATTTAATTGACAAAATGGATCTCTGAATTTTTCAAATTTCTAAAAATGAAATAACATAAATAGCTTTAGTCTAGTAAAACAAACAAAGCTGACTTATACACACATAAAAGAAAGCACACAACGCATCAATGTTCCCTGATGTGGCAAATATCTTGTATTTTCACAATTCGTGTTCCGCTATAAGGTGTTGAATAATTCATTTTTACAAAAATTCCATTGGCTAAAAAATATATGAAGTAAGCGCTCCTGCTATTTTATATCCAATACTGCTTTGACAATAAAGCACAGAACTTTTCAGGATTTTCGGGATTCAACCAAACAAATGCTGTTAGTTTGGGCTAGCTAGTTATCTGTTTGTATTTGAAATGAGAATCGTTATACCCACTTTTGTTCGTTTGCCAACTTCAATGCAAATAGAGAAATTGAACGCAAAGCTTTCGATCAAATAAACACAACAAAAGAGTCGAGTAAACCAACTAACATGTTTAAAACATCATACATTTTTATATCAAAGTTAATAAAAAGTTTATTGATGTGTTCACAGAAACGTCAATAATACATAAAAAAATAAAACAGTCTCATCATATAGCATTTTTTATTCATTTATTATGGGTACCTGAAGAAACCTGAGCAATTATTCTATATAATTACTAATACTGAGTGTGTTCGTTCTTCTTTAAAATATTTTAATGTTTCATTAAGTTAAACACGCATAGAGTATCTCCATCAAAACCAAAATAAAACTACTAAATGTGCCACAATCTATTAGCCCAGCAAGCTGCATTATACTCTAGTTAATTGTCGTAAAACTGTGCTAAGAATGCCACCGGAAAATTATGCTCCCATTTAATTAGAAGAGATAAATATGCAGGGAAGCAACCTCTACACTAATCCATTCTAATTTACTAAATTTTCCTAAAGTAGTTTAGCGGGTAATAAAATGTAATTTCTGCATGGGTACAGAGTATTACTGTCTTACATTAAACAAATATACTTTTTTCCGAATATGTCTACTAATGATAGTTTATTAGAGCTATTTTCAACAACATCGTAAACAACAGCAAATTAAAATAAATGTTAGAAAAGTGCTTTGCGACAGATCATTAATTTAAATTAACTGGCAACAAATTGTAATGTATTCTCTCTGTACAAAACTGTTTTCAACCAGTTTAGTACACCTTTAGTGAATACTCCCAACAAACAATTTTTTTACAAAGTAAAGCGAAATTGAATTTTGAAAATATCTATATCAAAAGTTCAGTTTAAATTATAAACGAACATTCCAGAAGAAGTCTCAATTCCAGCTTATTTTTTACTCTAAAATACACCAAAACAGATGAGCCACTTTTTTGTCAAAAAACTTATTTTCGCTGAGACGTCGACTGCATTTAATGTGAATTTCAGTCGAAACATTTCCGACGCATAATCCAATTTAAAATACAATATAATTCTCGGTTAACTTTTGAATTACGTTACTGCCACTCAGGAGATATTTCAATTAAAAAGTTGGATCAAAATTTTAATCTGTTCGATGTCAACCTGAAGTAAGAAAGGTCGTATTGCACAAAAATATGGAAACAATTATGGAATGTGGAATTGTTAATTCGCTTAATGTCAGCAGTGAATTAAACCAAGGATTTAAAATTTCGATTAGCTCTATTGATAAAGCTGTACAAGCGAGTAGCTTGTTAGACTTTATGCATAACTATATTCACTGGTTTGTTTCCAATTCAGCTCTTCATAATATTCACTATGCAATTAATTATACGGTTTACAAAGTTATTGACGCTCATAACTCAAAAGTTGGCTATAAACTGTATATACGTCTATCAGAATATATGTAAAATAATCAATTAAACAACTGCAGTTTGTTATTCATTAAATATCGGAAGCGCAAACAGAAACATGTCGCCAATTTCAAGCACATAAAAGAATAAAGCCACGATATGAAATATGAATGAATCAATTAACCGTCCTAATGATTGCTATTTCCTCTCGAGTAAACGCGAGGTTTTTCTTACCTGAGTAATCTCGTTTCAATTTTCTCCACTTTAGTTTTCTGCGGGCTTTCTTCGCTCTTCTCGAACGAAAGTTTCACAAATATTTCGGTGCCGCGCACTTGAGCTTTGAGGCTGCCAGTCAGATCGTTGTCTTCGAACTTTGTCTTGAATGAATCATAACCGTGCTGGAAAAAAGCATAAAAGTTCAAATTATCGCTGTTTATTTTTACACTTTGTTTATTTTATATCCAAGGATAGCAAATTGATAATTTTCAAGTGAATTTATTAACAATAATTTTCAAAAACAAATCACGCTTTTTTCTCTTCCACCTTTTTATGTGTGCTTCCACTGTAGAAATACATGGTGTACACAATTTAACTGATTTTTATTTTTTGCCAACATATTGGGAACTGCTTGAACAACAGGTCTAAGTTCACGAAATTAGAACGGGAAAGAAATGTCTTTTCTGTGCATGTTTTCATTTGTACACCATTTGATTGCCATTTATTATCAGCTCTTTCGGCAGCAGACGTTATTTTAAGTTACTAAAAAGTTAAAGTAAAATTGTGCGGAACCGTAACCCTAATAGTGGTAATATGTGTACAAAAGCTCAGTATTTTAGTTTGATTCTAAACCTATTGGCAAAACGCCAAAAGGATTAAAAATGACACCCCAAAAAAGTGTTTCTTTCTTCATACAGAAACATACAGTTTTTATTTGCGGCACTTATGAACCGTCTGTATACATGTGATACTTTGAGTAGTGTAGTACGGCGCATATTTTAACTACTAGGAAAATGTGGGAAAATTTACTTCACAGGCTAAAGTTTGCTTATATTTTCCTAACAAAAAATTTTAAAATAGACAAATGATTTTCGTATCAAAGCAACTTCATTCAAATAATTGTTTATACCTAAAACTTAGACAAATTAGCGATTTTTTTAATGCAACTCACTTTTCGAACACATAATATTTGTACACTCATTCTCACCGAACACCTTTTCTATGAAAAACGAAAACTTTTATTTAAGCTAGGCTACGCTGATTAACAGTAGTTGCACAAATACAATTTAAATGTAATTAAAACTTTGTCAATTAAAACACGACTTCTCTATTTTTCAACATTTTAACATTTACATTTGCCTTAAAATCTATCAGACGAATTGGCTTCCAGATAAGCGAATGGAGATTTTTTTAATACTGCATTGAAATTGGACAAGGAATCAAAATTGCCCGATATCGAATTGCCACATTGGTAAAATATTCAGCCATCAAATTGGATCCCTTACAGACCGTATCCGTGGCCATTCACCGAAATCAGATTTTTACGGGAACATTTTGATGCGGTTTATTTGCCCGAATGGTTAAGTTATATTAAAAAAAATTAATTTTACAGTTGAATACCCTTTGAAATATGTCAAATGAAGAATAGGGATATATTTACATTACAGTTATAAACGATTGCTGCCTTAAGTTTATGGAGAGAGTACCGATTTGAACGAAAAAACATGTAATGTACAGACACTTTGTTTGTATGTATAACAGACTCTTAGTTTTATTTAAAACGCTGCTAATCAAACGAGTGATGAATTAAAAAAGCCTAATCACTCTAATGATTGGTTGTGAGAGTGAATATTTCAAAAATAAGTTGTTTCCTAATGATTCATTACAAGCTCTAATATTTCAAAAAGAAATTGTTTGAAAGCTCTGGGTCTAATTTATAAAGTGATTTTTCTCGACTAAACGGTTTAAGTTTTGAAAGAAGATTTTTCAACAGTTAAGTTGAGTGGTTGCTATTAAAAGATGAAGTATATTTTACTTGGGAAATACTTGCAACATGAATTATTATTTTGTAAATATAGAAAAACGTAGTATTCAACGACGAAAAATACGGTCACACAACCATCAAAAATATATATTTTTTAAATATTTGAGAAAAAAATTATTATTGATGATTCGGTCTTCGGTAGCTTTTTCAACAGAAATTTCTTGTAAATATAAACTATCAAAAACATACTTGGACTGGGCAAGTGCAGTTTCGAAAATGGTTTCCGATTCCACCGGTGTGGAATTTTGCAGTACGGAGCAAACAGATTTATTTTACCTTTTTTAACTACAACAACGAGTACCGATATACAAAATGTTTCTCAATACGCAACAGTTGGAAAATATGCATATTTGTATTATTCAAGATTTTAAAAGTACCAAGGAGTCACGGGCCGCACAAGCTTCGGGTACCCTATAAACGGGGTTAATAAACACCCCTAAAAAGTTAATTTTTTACCAGACTTTTAAACTTGGCGTTTATTAATTTTGCAATCAATCAATGCAATATTGTTGATGAATTGAATACTTTTGAAATACGAAATATTTGATTAGTTGAAAGCAATAAATTTCTTATTTAATATGTTCTTTATAACACCGTTAAGATTGAAGCCTATTTTTATTTCATAAACATTCAACGGACAACGTCGATAACAACTTCTAGAAATTTATTTCCTGGAATATAGTAATCCATTAAGGAATAATTTATTTAACACTAAAACACAGGAGGAAATCGTAAAATATAATCGATATATGGAAAAATTAAGTCATTTATAAATAAATAACTAAACATTTAGAGCAGTTTTTTTATGTTACCAAGAAAAGAATATAATAATTTAGAGCAGTGTCAAGATTTTGATGCTCCTTCACTTTTATTTGATTCGTTTTAATTAATGTATGTGTTAGCAGCAATATTCTGACGATGTGGAAAGTTCGGTTTTTTTCCTAAGTTTTAGTCAGGTAGATTAGAAAACTCAATTTGCGCACCCAAATTTAAAAAATTACTGTTACTTTAATTTTACTGCCGTTTTATAATAGTTTTATAATGTTGCCGATTTATAATAGTTGAGCCAAAATGAGGAAAATAGATTTTTCCTCAAATCTACACTATCGCCTAAAATAAATGCGTAAAATTATGAATTGGGTTCGAACGATTTGTTCAAGATTGACTGATCTTCGACCAGACAATTTTAAATAGAAACTTACTCGCTCCAAAGAGCTTTCGAAGTAGGCATATTTTTGTATTATAAATGTTTTTTAAATGTTATTAGACATATTATAATTTATAGTTTTATAATAAAGTACCTACTAAGATTGTAACTGAACAGGTGTTTTATCGAAAACTGCAGTTGTATATTATTATGAATATCACAAGAAAATTATGCAAAGAAGTGATTAAAATTTAATATAGTTGTGTGATCTCTATCAGCAGACATTGCTAGAATTTCCTCTTCTTTCTAAACTGTAAACTAGAGTTCAAATTATAAATATAATTGGAACATTTAAGCATGCATAAATAATTCGAAACTTTGTCAGATCAATTAATCCCGTTGCGGATTTTTAACCACCTTTGGGTAATTAGCGATTATTACTGCAACTCTACAATACTTAATGGTCCTTATTTCTTCTTATAAAAAGTTGAACACAAATATTTTAAAGAATGCGAGTAGGCAAAATAAACCAAGATTTTACATAGCTAACTTATTATATAAATCTATTTTCGATGTTACTCTATATAACTGACGTATTCTAAATCGGAACATAAAACTGATTCATAACTGCAATATCTGTTTTACATCGAGTTCAAAAAGTCAAAAAAGACTAAATTTATTAAACTTCTTGAATTCCGATAAAATGAAAATTTCAGCTAAATTCGAACGAAATCTGCGTAGCTCATTCATTTTGATGGGAAAATTAGTTAAACAATCCCAGAAATCCCAGAAATGTTCGTACCATCTACGCTTGTTAAAAACATTGCATAAACCGACAGTTGAATAATAAACAATAAGAAGGAAGGGAGAAGAAAGTCGGTGTGTACACACTGGACAAAATTTTGCAATTAAAAATGCTTGATTGATTCAGTTCTATAATAGTTTCAGAGTGATATCAAATAAGACATGTTTAAGACAAAACTAAATATTTTTCAGGTAGAAAGAGCGAGTAAACATTATCAGGCATTGAGAACGATGGCATTTAGCTTACTCATAAGGATTCCCTGTGTTGTCTGAGCACAAAAGCAGTCTTTCAATTTTCATTCCAGTATCCAAATGTGAACAATACCCACAGACATGTAGGTATTGTCATTATCGAATGATAAATAACGTTTAAACTATAGGCTTCTGGAAACCACACCGATAATTAACAACCTTTGACATCCAAATTTCATAACCGCTTCGTGTAATTTACAGGCACAAAGGAAAACAGGAGCTTTAGCCGTTCCGTCCTCCGCTGTTTATCTCGTCGGTACAAAGACCTACCGGATTCATCATTACATACAAACCAGATGTAAATCAGATCGGAACATTCAGTGTGAATGCTCAGTACATTAACTTAACTGTATTGTTCTCACAAATTGTAAAAAATGTTAGTCATACATAAAAGTATTTGGCTGATCATTGGTGTGTTTTTTGGTGCAGGAAAAAGCCCATTAGTTTGACTCATAGCAAGAATGGATGGCGAAATTATTAATATAACATTTTTCTATTAAAACTGAACGCAAGTGAGCGGTGGAATGCTGAACCAACTCCTCTTTCTACTGATAGGAAACAATTGAAAATTATTGAGTTTTAAATCAACAATAAAGAGTAGCGCAGCAATATGAAGTTTAGCGGAGATTTTCTTTAAGTTAGATCACCGGTTAACCTTTTATTAATTTTGTCTTAGTTTAAAGTGGTTTTTATTCAATTGCTGGTTTTCAGCAGTTCCGGTTCAGTATTCAGAGTGCCTTCTGCTGTAAACTTTACTTCAGAGTTTGTATGGTCGCTTGATATTCCCAACATCAACTGAACTTTGATATTAGGTTATACAAAATGCTGTCTTTTATGTGGCGTTCTTATACTGATACTAATCGATACGAAAATATAGTAAAAACCCAAACTTTCAACAGATCAATGTGCAAAACTATGCCATGATAAGCAATCAGTTTTTGCCCACATAATAAATGCACCTGATAGTATATTGTCCGCCACCTTTTTAATAAATTGAATACCTACTATTATCATTAAACTTGTTAATTTCATTATCATCAGTACATTTACCATCAGTTAATTAGTAAATTTAATAACAATTAAGTAAAAATAAATAAATAGAAACCCTTCGGAACATGCCACTACTGAATAATTCCCTATATGCGTTGCGTTCT